GTCCAGTTTCATTGCAGTCTCGAGGACCCAAACAAGTCTTTAATTGGCGTGCCATGAAATTTCTTTGATCATGCGGAAGAAAGCACATGATTCACTGAGAATTGCCTCCAGACGTTATGTCAAGGGACTTCAAATTCTTAACTTGAGAGCTAATTACCAAAAACATTAATAAAATAAATTTTATTAGTAAAATAAAATAAATTTTATTAACAAAATAGTTTTTTACTATGTCACTCGATACATATCTATGAAAATTATTTATTATTGTATATCGATAGAATTACATTAAAAAATAACTTGTTTTGATTTTATGATTTATATTTTTATAAGTATTTTAAAATTATATTTTTTTTGAAAAAATATTAGATTTATATTTTTTTAATTATATTAATATGCTAATATTAAAAATAAAAATAAACCTAATTATATTAATATGCTGATATTAAAAATGAAAATAAACCTAAAAAATAAAAAAAAATTAAAGTAACTGGTAACACCAAACAAAAAAAACAATTGTTGAAACAAGGAACAATTGATTTGATATTACGATGCCCATAACTCGTGGGTGAAAGAAGTCCATGAATTTGTTTATGGTGGATAAGATGCCAAGTTTAGTATCCGAGGATTAAACCGAGATTAAATCTCTCACTAAATACATACACATAATACATTCTAAGACCTTATTAAGTAAAATAATCTTAATATAAAAATTAAACATATATATAGTCTCGTTGCAATACAATTTCCACTTATTTCTGATAATACAGTACAGATACTTTAAAAAAAATATTATTTAAATAAAAATATATAAAAATATTTTTTTATGTTTTATATCATCATATTACAATTATTAAAAAAACAAATTAAAAAAATTGGAAAAACAATTCCCCGGGATGAGAGCAGCGAGGAATGTGGAGGATGATGTCTAGGAGACACGTGGGTTCCAAGGTTACCTAACTGCACTCCCCATGCCCCAATACGGCAGTTCATATTTATCCATTTTGGGACACGCCATCACCCATTCTTTGTTTATGGGCCCTTAGACTTTCAATTTTTCAATTAAATATTTTTTCAAGTAACTTTCTAGTCACTCTACTATTTTCTTCAACGCTCAAAATTTTCGCTACACTTACCCACACTCACATCGTGTCATGATCAAATGATCAACTTAGTTACTCAGCTATTTTTATTTTCTTTTGCTTTAACAAGGATAAATTAGGTAATTAATATACAAAGTTTTAAAAAATTAGCAAAATATTTTCTAAACATCACTATTTTTAAGAGCAACATTGCTAAAATATATTATTTATAGCTCAACTAGTTGATTGATTTGTAATGATTAGTGAAACTGACCAATCAATTTTAAAAATAACAAGTAAAATCTTAAAACTATAAAAATTTAGAGGTCTCGACAAGATTTTTTATATTTAAGATTCGACAGCTTGCATAGTGACGTGGTGGCTTTTGTGGGAAAGATAGCATGCAGGAACTCTTGTAAAATTTCAAACAAACATAATTCAACAGTCGAATAAAAAATTATGAATTGTTTGAGTTGTTATTATAATTTGACGTGACTAGACCTACTCCTGGGTTTAAACTTGTCTTATTAATTTACAAATATATTTTATAAGTTTTTAAAGTAATTTGCCTAGGCAAATTATCACTCAGTTGTGACATGCTTATACCCGAATGCTCATAAATCACCTACTATTGTATGAATAATATTTTTTTAAAAATTTTAATTGGGGTTTAGTTTTGAGTTTACAAGGTGGATAACGACAATTTTGATTTATAAAATGTATTTGGAATTTTTTTTATATAAAATTATAGTTTTATATGAAACACTCGATCGATTAATACAACTGGATTTAATCAGTTGAGTTTACACACACGTGTGTATAAATCTTGTCAATTAAAGTTTAATAAAATAATTAAATAATTATTATCTTAATCAATACCATATAATACGGACAAGTTGCTTTCAGAACTGTTTAAGCAACTGATTTATTATCATTGATAGCCATAACAACCAAAGTTGACGGCTTTCAGCCTGTTTGTTTATACATTTCAAAGTGTTTTTTTTTTAAAATATTTTTTTATTTTTTTATTAATTTCAAATCAATATGTTTTTAGTGTTTTCAAATTATTTTGATGTGCTAATATAAAAAATAATTTTTTTAAAATAAAAAAATCATTAACATGTATTTTGATACGAAAAACTATTTGAAAAACAATCATAACCACACTTCTAAAAAAGCTCTTGAAACCTCCTTCAAACCCTAGTGTTTGAATTGCCCGTGATAATGTTGGTCACTCAGAATAAATTACCGTGAACATATCCTCTGATACTTTTTCAAGTGTTTAAAATTATAATAATAATATTTTGAATATAATATATTTTTTATTTTTTAAAGTGTTTAAAATTATAATAATAATTTAATATAATATTTTTAACACAACACACAAAAATAATCTAAAAATATTTAAATTTTAAAAAATATAGGTACGTTTTCAAACATTATTTTCACAAACATGGAATTCCAAAGCTCATGAAAAGGTGCAATTTATTCAAAAACTTCTTCTTTTTACCTATCCAAGTGCCTGGATTATTCAAAACTTCATAGACCGTGTACAAGAGAAATAACATCCCCATGATAACAACATGAGTTTTTAATTTATATCGCGACACCTTATTAGATCTGTATTCAAATTTATAATTTAAAAGGGAAATTTATGTAATATTTAAATTAAAATGTCAAAGATTCGAATCAATAATTTGTTATTGTTTTAATTATGTTCAATAAATAGAAAAAATGCGGTCTATTTGTTATTTTTTTTTTAAAAAAACACGAACAGCGTAAAGAAACAAAACCATGATGACTTTAGTTTCTCAGAGGAGAATTGAGATAAGGATTCGAATATTGTTAAAGTACATGAAGATTAAAGAGGCAATAAAATATAAAGAAATTTGTTTCGGCCGAAAAAAAATGGACCCACGCGCTTTCACCATCTGTGACCCAATGGCCCAAACCTCCATGTCCACGTGAACTGCAGCAATTCGTTGAAAAAAAAAAGTTTGAAAATATAATTATAATTCTTTTTTATTTTTTAAAATTATTTTTAATATCAGTAAATTAAAATTATTTAAAAATATAAAAAAGTATTAATTTAAAATAAAAAATAAAAAAAATAAATTATTTTTTAAATATAAAAATAAACAAGGCCCGGGAATCTGGATGAATTGTGCCATACTGAATCATGCGCATAAAATAAAAATACATTGTAAGCTAGCTTTAAAAACTAGTAGCTAATTCTTTAGTTTCTAGTGTGTAATGATTAAAGAGAATCAAAACCGAGTGAAAAAGCTGTGTTCCATGGCCATCATCATACAATAATGATTGATAGATGTATCAGCTTTCCACTTTGTACTCTAACCAAATCGGTGAATTTCAGTTGTTTTTTAATTGTAAATATATTTAAATATTTATTCATTATTAGGATTTATTTTAAATATTGACAAGTTAAAAAATAAAAAAAATAATTAATTTAAAATAAAAAAAAAAAATTTAAATTTTTTTTTTAAAATACAAAAACAAATAAGCTTTTGGTTCGGATTCTAATTTTATAAACATGTTTATTTATTGAGTAATTTGATGAGTCACTAGATTAATTAAAATTTATTTTTTAATTAAAATAATATTATTTTATTTTATTTTTTATTATTATGTTCTGCCTTGATCATGTTTAAATCAAATATGATCAAATCACTTAGTTGTAAATCAACATGTTAAGCCTCGTGGACTTTAACAAGTTAATATCTTAAAAAAAAATTAATTTAAATTTTGTATGGATAACACATGTTTCTATCCAATCAATTTATCAAATTAAATTAAATTAAAAATAATATAAATATCAAGAAAATTACCAAATTATAGGAATATAGACAACACTATTCCTGTCATTTTTTATTTGAAAAACAAAAACAAAATATGATCATAGAGTATAATGCAACACTAAAACTAACATTCTCTTGGTAATATTAGGATTTAAAGACTCATTTACTCCAAGGTGAGGCTTTATACCAACTCAATTATTGCTACGAAAAGAACCAGAAACTAATGCCTAGTTATTTTCTTATCTTTAAAAGGTATCGATGGAATTACTTCATATATCTCAATCAAAACACCTCAAAATTTATTTGTCGTACCTTTAAAATAGATAGATGTTACGTGCACAAACGCTTTGATATTTTATATAGAGAAAACTACAAAAAGCGAACAAAATAAACACTAATGATAAAAAAAAAATAATAAAAATGAAGGAAGGGGTCGGGAAGTGAGATTACGCGTTAAGAAGGAAGGACGCCGAGTGACACGGCTTGATCTCCAAGAGCCCACGATAGCTCACTGCTCCTTCCTCACTACTTCACCCTTTCGTTGCCACCTGTCCTTGGTAGTAAGCTCACACTCCATTTTAAAATAAAGGACCAAATAAAATAAAATAAAATAGTTTCAAACATTCAATTCCATTAAAACATCTGAATTAAATTCGATTTTATTGAGTTCTTTTTTATAAATATATACAAAAAAAACTTTTTATATCGGGTTATTATTCTAGTAGATTTCAGTAACGTCATGGTTTAATCAAAAATCAAATATGTTATCGTGGATTATTATCTTGAAGTAAAATCCATTTTTATTATCAAAATACAAATGAATTATTTAAGACTCCATTGAAAAAAAATCCAACATCGAGTTTTTATAAAACTCGAGAATCTTGTAAAACGTTTTAGACGGTGCCGATGAGAGAAAGGATAATATTGATAATTATAAATAGTTATGGACCAAACTGAAACTTGTCATATAGTTGAGCGACTGCCAGGTGAATTCCCCAACAGTAAAATCTGCTAGCATAACCATGGTTACTCTTCAAGCTCCCTCAACACTCAAAAGAGTCTAACCTTCCGTACTTAACAATGGACGCGTGTCCCCCCTGCCAACGCGGTTTCTCCTTCTCCACCCGCTCTATTTATATTCCTCTACTCGCTCCGTTTTCACTCCCTCCCATCTCTCCAGCATAACAAAAACTCTTTCCGCCTCACGACACAAAGACCTCGCTTCTCGCGGTCACCGCTTCTTGGTTGCCGGTCAAACCAAATCCCTTCTTAACTGCGTTCCTCCCATCCCTTCCGTCAACCCAACAATAGATATTCACTTCTTGCTAAAAAATGTGTTGAAAACACCTCAGAGTCGGTTTCTTTTGCAAATTTAAATTGTTTTCTTTAAAATTTAAGGTTTCTAAATTAGATACTGCTAGCAATATGGCATCATCAGAGAACTTGGCAAGTCTTGAACCATGGAATATGATGTGCAGGTCGAATTTTCCTGATTTTTGGCTTCCTGAAGCCTATGCTCGCGACACAGAAACCCTCACAAAAGCCCTTCAAAAATCCCTCTTTAACAACATAGATGACACTCCTACAGGCACAAAGACCGATGATAACAGCACTAACTCTTTCTCCATGAACGAAACTTTTTCTTCAAATTCATTCAACCCGTTTACCAGCCTAATCGAGACGGCACCCCCGACTCCGACGGCCTCGAACGTTTCTGGGTCAGACCCAGAAACTGCTGGAGCCACCAAACGCCAGAGAAACTTGGTCCCGGGTGCAACTGGGAAGGTTTCGAAACGGAAGACACGAGCTTCCAAACGGTCTCAGACAACGTTTATAACAGCGGATCCGGCTAATTTTAGACAGATGGTGCAACAGGTTACCGGTGTTAGATTCGGCAACTCACAGGTTTCAACGGTTCCTGTCTTGAAACCTGAGCCACAGAGGCCTGGTGGCCGGTTGCTAGGGGGTAGCGGGTACCTGCCCACGCTTGATACGTCGGCGTTTTTGCTTGATCATCATCATCAACATCATGCGGTCACGGGGTCAACTTCCGGGTCTAGTACCGGGACTGAATTTGGGCCTGGACCGATTTTGTTTACCCAGCCCATGGTGGGGGATGTTGGTGTTCATTCTAGTAGTGGTTTTGATTTCGACACTTTCTCTAGCTTTCCAACTCTAGAGTCATGGAAGGTTGTGTGATGATTAATTAATTTAGGGTTTTTGTTTCCCCCCCACCTTTTTCTTGGTATTTTGGGAGGCAAGTTTAAGGATTATGTGTAGTATGTGTCTATAATTTTGGCACGCCATGGTTTAGACTATAGTTCTTCATAGCCTTGTTTATTTTGTATTTCTGTTTATGTAATGTAAAACTTCATCCAATGCATTAGTATATAGTTATTAATGCTTTATGCTGCTTCATCCTCGCTTCATTAATGTCTCTTAAGACAAGGTGCCATTCAAGTGTTTTGGTAATGTTTCAGGGAAGAAAAAAAGATATAAAAAAATAAAGATATAAAAATATATTTTGTTGAAGAAATAAATATAAAATGAACGTGTAAACATGTTATTTCTATCTCTATTTTTTATTGTTTTTATTTTTTTGTTCGTGACAATAACCTGATACATAAATAATATGTTTTGATAATTTGAATTCTGATCTTGATCGCTATTTCTATCTCTTTAGTTAACTCTATTAACATTCTTGTCTTAATTTTTATGATAACTTGAATGCCTTATTCTCCTTGCTAAAAAATAATAAATCTTTTAAAGAAGTTAAAATAAATTCTTCCTCACCGCCCGACATGTCTGGCTAGTGGCAGTATTTCTTACGTAAACTTACTTTCAACAAGAGGTAAGAAGATCTCTTTCTGATCAATTATTTTTATTTTTATTTTTATTACAAGCAGTAACTTGAACTCGAAACTTTTCAATATATTGATTGTTTAGGGGTGGTTGTGTTAGGTGATTAGGTCATATCAATTTTTAAAGGTTATTTAATTTTCCAAAGTTTTGCTAGCAGCCATAGGATTAGGTAACCCTAGCAAATCTTGGTGACAATTGTCGTTTTGCATACCTCAAGAATACTCAGATTACGCATGAGGTGAGCAGCAAAGAGTCCCAGCTAGCTCCGTATAGGATAGCAATGCCTCTCCGATTGGGGGACAGGCACAGCAAAATCGTGAAATGGACATTGGAGAGTGTAAACAATTGGCTTGATGCTGAAATAATTATATTTTACGAGTGATGGTGTTTTTGTTCTTGCTAATCAAAGCTTAATTTATCAAATATCAACACCAATAACGTCTATGGGAATAAGAATCAAGAATAGGGATTTTGAGGGGCTGGAGATAGTTGGCAGAATTTGGAGTTGAGAGAGAATCCTTCAGAGTGATCCAATATCTTTATCATTATCAATTGAATTTCCCATCATGTTTTTGTCATTTTGAGGATCCACTTGACTTGGGTCATTTGCTCCACAGAAAAATAAGATTCCCAACCCTGCCTTTCCTTCAAGATGAATTAAAACATATAGGTGATGTTGAACTTAGGTTGATGACAGAAATCTATGATAGGATAACAAAGTTCAATTTATTTTCATGGTTTTTTCACTTAAGAAATTAGGTTGCCTTTGTTATCTATCCCAATTATTATTTCAAAACTCTACTCAACCTGGCTAGTCTATCTATAATATAAAATCTATATCAAAATGACATAAAATCTAGAGTTTTAGAATGGTCCATGACATGTCCAACTTAAAAAAGAAAAATCCAATCAAAACTCATTAAATAAAGTCATTTTTATTTTTTTATAAAATACAGAAATTAAGTTTATTGATGACTTTTAACTTGAATCGGGTTTAAAAATAATAATCTCAAGATAAAAAAAAATAAACATTTCTATATAATAATTTTGAAGTCAAATCATCATCCTTAAAAAAACAAAAAAAACAAAATTTTTTTATACTAATTATCTTTATCTATTTCAACCGTGTAAGTTAACTTAAAGAAGGGATATCTTCTTTACCTTTTCATCATATTTTTTTTATTGATTTTAAATTAATATTAATTATAATATAAAAAACAAATTTACTTATCCACCAAACTAAGCGATAAGAACAAGAGGATAATATAAAATCTTAACACCAAACTTTGCATGAAAGATTATTACGTCTAGAATCCAACCAAAACAATAAGATATTTAATTAACAAACTTCACTATACATGCTCTTTGACGTCTTTGACAAGACAGGGAAAGCGACATCGTATAAGCCAATCAACCCATTATCCTAAAAAACTTTTATCAAGAAAGAAAGATCTAGAATTATTTAAGCTCGTCTCGTTAGATAAAGTTTTATCTTTTTTTTAAATTTTTTTTTTTAAATGTATTAGTGCAAACATTTACTCAAGTCAGAAGGTTTAATAAAATAAATACACAGTCCCCTGTAATGTGTTAGGTAGCATCATAGGCTTGACTTGGGTCTTGGATTTTTTTTGCCTTCCAAAAATAATTTCATTTAAAATATAATGAAGTTGTTCAAGTGATGCAGCTTGTTGAGATGCTTACTGAAATTTAGTATATCAAATATATATTTTTTTTAAAAATTATATTTCATTTTCCTTGTCATGTCAAATTAATCTAAGATTAGGACGAGGAGTTGACATTATCAAACTCCTTAATAAATGGCTTAATCATCTAAGCAGACAGTGCTGCGAGAAGAGTGGAAATGAATTTGCTGTGTCACTCTCTGCTTGATAGAGAAGTTTAACCCATGTATTTTATAATACCAATATCTAAATTTAATTAGTCTTTGGTTAATTACTAGTTTTTACAAATGTATATAATTAAATTCGATCTTGCTCCATGCTGAGATAATCTCATGTTTTTTTTTTTTTTTGTCAATTAGATTCTCACCCTCCTAATAGATTGAATCTCTCCACTTTCCCTTTGCATGTTCCGGAGAAGTAAAATTTGTTCAAGAATTTCTCGTTTTTATTTTTCCATCTAAAGCTTCTCTAAATTTAAAATTTTGAATTTAATAAGGTTGTGTTTAGTCAGTATCACATAACATGCTTATAAAATAATAAAAATATAAAACAATAGAAACACATTTACTTGCAAGAATGGATACAAAAATATAAAAATAAATATATTCCTGAATATGTTTTTGTTAGTTATTGAATTAAGTCTGACCTATTCTATTGGATTGGCTTAATCCAAGTTATTAGAGAAGTTACTAAAACAAATAATTATTTTTTTAAATAATATATAAAGAGATGTAACCCATATAAAATAATAAGTTTTTATTATTGAAAAAATATAGTTTTTTTTCTCCTATCTTAACTCTTTATATTAATTTGAAAATATTTACAAAGACGTTTGCATGGTAAAATATCATATTAGTTTTAATAATTAAAGTGGTACGGAAGTAAATAATCTAGGAAAAAAAAAATTTCATAAATATTTTTTTTTTCAATCCATATTAATATCATAGTAATGATTTTAATATTTTTCTTTATTCACTACATCTCGTAAGTAAATGTTAAACGTAAATTTTGTATTAAACAGTATTTTTAAATGATTTTTGTAATTTTAAAATAGAAAAGTCCTGGAACATGTATGAATTATCAGAACCATCTCCATCTCTCGTGACTCGAAACAAGAATCAATAGCAACCTAAATTTCCATGAGAAAACTCAGTCCAATCAATCAAAATTTCATAACATCTATCAATTTTATCATGTCCCTCTTATTTTCTAATTTGAGACCAAGAACTTATTAACTGGTCATTCTCTTGTTTTCCTTCACTTGATATGTTGGAAAAGTCATTAGATACCAATTCTTCTTTTCCCATAAAAATTTCCACTTAGATTTTTGATCTCTTGTCAGCCCAAACTATCATATTAGTTTTAATAATTAAAGTGGCATGGAAGTAAATAATCTAGAAATAAAAAAATTAATTTTCATAAATATTTTTTTTTCAATCCATATTAATATCATAGTAATGATTTTAATATTTTTCTTTATTCACTACATCTCGTAAGTAAATGTTAAACGTAAATTTTGTATTAAACAGTATTTTTAAATGATTTTTGTAATTTTAAAATAGAAAAGTCCTGGAACATGTATGAATTATCAGAACCATCTCCATCTCTCGTGACTCGAAACAAGAATCAATAGCAACCTAAATTTCCATGAGAAAACTCAGTCCAATCAATCAAAATTTCATAACATCTATCAATTTTATCATGTCCCTCTTATTTTCTAATTTGAGACCAAGAACTTATTAACTGGTCATTCTCTTGTTTTCCTTCACTTGATATGTTGGAAAAGTCATTAGATACCAATTCTTCTTTTCCCATAAAAATTTCCACTTAAACCATGTATAATTTACGTAATAGAACGAGGCACTATGACTCGAGATATATGCTCAAACCATCTAACTTAAACAAGTTACTATCCACATATTAACTCCTCCATTAAAGTTATGCATCCTTATGAAATTCTAATATAAGCTCTAATTCTGTATATAATTTAAACAATCTAACGAAGAAGCTTATTCTAACCACTAAGACCAGCCCTCTTTTGTTTTTTTTTTTTAGATTAACGTGGGTGTCCGGGTCAGCTTGCGCGCATCACGACTAATCCCACGGGCCCTGAAGTTAACGATCATGTAAACGTCCAGTGGCCATCATATGAGCAACCAAGGACTCGAACCTGAAACCATAGAGGGAGCAAACTTCTTGATCCCAAGTTTTTACAACTTGGCCACCACCTAGATGGTTAAGACCAGCACTCTTAAAGGTGTTTCTAGGAGTGCTTTTGCTTTTGCTTATCTATGTTGATATTTAAAATAAAATTTATTATGATAGAACTAGAAGATGAGGTAATAAAAAGGAAAGATCTTTTTTCCTGAGTTTTATGTAGCTGGGTATTTGGAAATCATCAAAATCTCCGGTTAGAATGAGATTTCAACTCAAAACCTTTTAAAATTTCAAGAAAATATCATTTGTTTTGTCGGAGGCAAGAAATCAAATGAGACCTGCAAGAAATCGAAAAGGGTTATCAATCACATAGCTAGATACAACAACAACAATCTGAGTGCAGCAGACGAAGCCAACAGCTTACCATGGAGGATTTGACTTGTTCCTTGCGCCTCCGTGGAGGGAACTAATTTCAGAAAACAAACAACTCAATGACGTTGGCAATGGTGCAATATAGACAAGTGGTTATGGAGGCAAGCACTGTTGACATATGTTTTGGGTCAATGTCAAGCCGTTCAATGGAAACGAATTATTCCATTACAGGGAAAGAATAAGATGATCCATGCTATAACGTAAGCATCTGAAAGCTATCTTGGGCCATGTTCGATGGTTATGTGTTTAATTTTTAGCGAAAAAGAAAATAAGATTTGG